CCAGGATGGTCTCGATCTCTTGACCTCGTGATCCACCCGCCTCGGCCTCCCAAAGTGCTGGGATTACAGGCTTGAGCCACCGCGCCCGGCCCCTCTTCTGCTTTTTAAACAACTTCCTCTGAAGGCAAAATAAACCCCAAAAAATCCCACATTTTGAGTCCTGTGTGGCACATAGTTTCTCCCTCACAGGGGGGCCCTGCCTGGAGGTACTCTTCCAGGGAACCGTTGCTGGCTAGCTTTACTATTAGGTTGGTGCAACAGTAATTGCGATTTTTGCCACTGCTTTCAATGGCATCGAAATACTTTGATACAATCTCTGCTCTCTACTTGGGGGTTCCCAAATATTCAGACAGCATCATTCAGCTGAGCAGACATCCAATGACTGACAGCTGGCCTTTCATCCAAGTGTTTGGGATTATGTAGACACAGCCCCCATTGGGCCTTTTTCGTGAATAGGAATGACCCTGTACCTCAATCACAGTGGAAATGTAGCTGACTTCAACTTTTCAGATCTCTGGCTTCCTTAGCTGGAGTTAACACCAAAGCACAAGAAGGCACTTGGCAGACTGCCCAACCATTAAAAGTTTCATGGCCTTGGCTGGGTGTGGTGGCTCACACCTGTAATCCTAGCACTTTGGGAGGCTGAGGCCTGTGGATTGCCTGAGCTCAGGAGTTTGAGACCAGCCTGGGCAACACAGTGAAACCCTGTCTCTACTAAAATACAAAAAAATTAGCCGGGCTTGGCGGCATACATCTCTAATCCCAGCTACTTGGGAGTCTGAGGCAGGAGAATCGCATGAACCTCGAAGCAGAGGTTGCAGTGAGCTGAGATTGTGCCACTGCACTCCAGCCTGGGTGACAGAACAAGACACCATCTCCAAAAAAAAAAAAGTTCCATGGCCTCATCTCTAGATAATTTAGATAGGTTGGAGGCTGTTCAAGGTTTACTTAACACAAAGAACCCCAGGAACACACCAGTGAGAAGTACCATGTGCCTCAGGTCTTCACAGACAGGAGGACCCTGAACTATACACACACATCCTGCAATGGTGCAAAAAACAGAGCCAGCCTAAGGAGCTGATTCGAAGAGGCTGCCTTGCGTGGGGCCCTTGAGACAGCCCTGTGAGAAGTGTCCCCCTTGACTCAGTGTCTCATTTAAATTACCTCATGTGAACTGCTCAATAATAGTAACAGATGCGTACTGTGTGCCATGCACTGCTGTCTCCGAATGCTGTACAGAGTCTGAAGGTGTTATCCCCATTTACAGATGAGGAGCCTGAGACACAGACAAGTAAATACCTTAGGCCACACAGCAGAGCCAGGATTTGCCCCCAGGTAGTCAGCTCTGGATAGAGCCTGTGCTGTTAACCTTTTGCTCTACAAACCCTCAGAGAGGTGTAATATTTTTGCTTTTATATATTATATACATACATATATATATATATATATATATTTTTTTTTTTTTTTTTTTTGAGATGAAGTTCAGCTCTTGTTGCCCAGGCTGGAGTGCAATGGTGTGACCTCGGCTCACCGCAACCTCCGCCTCCCGGGTTTAAGCGATTCTCCTGCCTCAGCCTCCTGAATAGCTGGGATCACAGGCATGCACCACCACGCCCAGCTAATTTTTGTATTTTTAGTAGAGATGGGGTTTCTCCAAGTTGGTCAGGGTGGTCTTGAACATCCATCCTCAGGCGATCTGCCCGCTTCAGCCTCCCAAAGTGCAGGGATTACAGGTGTGAGCCACGATGTCCAGCCTTTATTTTTATCTTATACTTAAATAATTGTATTTATATAAATCATTTATATATTTATTCATTTATAAACATGTGTATGTCATACATTTATTTTTTAACATAGTTTATAAAGATTTATATATTTTATACATTGTTTTATGCATCCATTTAATAAACTAGCATTAACTGAGCACCTACCATATGCAAGTACTATGCTAAATACTGAGAAACAATGACAAATAAATATATGGATAGGGGCCGGGTGCGGTCACTCTCGCCTGTAATCCCAGCACTTTGGGAGGCTGAGGTGGGCGGATCACCTGATGTCGGGAGTTTGAGACCACCCTGACCAGCATGGAGAAACCCTGGCTCTACTAAAAATACAAAATTAGTCGGGCGTGGTGGCGCATGCCTGTAATCCCAGCTACTTAGGAGGCTGAGGTAGGAGAATCGCTTGAACCCGGGAGGTGGAGGTTGCAGTGAGCCAAGATGGCGCCATTGCACTCTAGCCTGGGCAACAAGAGCAAAACTCCATCGCAATAAATAAATAAATACACACACACACACGCACGCACGCACGCATGCGCGCGCGCGCGCGCGCACACACACACACACACACACACACACACACACACACACGGATGGTAAAGGAACAGAGAACTAGCAGCGAATAAGCCTCTGCTGTGTATGGAGAAATCTGCTAAAGTCTTCACCCATACTATCTTACCTTTTGTTTTGTTTTGTTTTTTGTTTTATTTTTGAGTTTCGCTCTGTAGCCCAGGCTGGAGCACAGTGGCGAGATCTTGGCTCACTGCAGTCTCTGACTCCTGGGTTCAAGCAATTCTGGGTTCTCAGCCTCCTGAGTGGCTGGGATTACAGGCACGTGCCACCACACCAGGCTAATTTTTCTATTTTTAGTAGAGACAGGGTTTCGCCATGTTGGTCAGGCTGGTTCCGAACTCGATCTCAGATCCACCCGCCTTGGCCTCCCAAAGTGTTGGGATTACAGGTGTGAGCCACCGTGCCCGGCCCACACTATCTTACTTAATTCTCCTAACAATCCTATGAAGCAGATCCTGTGAAGAAGTTTTTACAGATAGGGAAACTGAGGATCTCAGACTCTAACCTGAAAAACAACTATGTACAGATTACTATCGAGTATGTTCAACTTTTCTGAGACAAAGAGGGCCTGGGACAGCAACTGGAGGCCGGTTCCTCTGGGAGGGAGCAGGTACAGAGAGAGGGGGGACAACACCCAAGATTCTACTTGGCAATGTTCCCGCCAGAATTTGTGATTTTGATCTGTCTCCCCATTCTCCACACAAACGCATGCAAGATCACAGAGGAGGGAAAGAAGAGGAGGCTTGGGTTGAATCATCCACATCAGTCCAGAGGACTATGGCGTCAGCCTGTCTGGGTCCAAATCCTGTCTCTCCCTCTTTCTGGGAGAATTCCCCCTGAGTAATTACTCAGCCTTGCTGTGCCTCAGTTTGCTCTTCTGTAAAGTGGGGATAAGAGTGCCCATTCAAGGTGACTCCTGTGAGGATTAAACAAGTGCTAATTAAAGCACTTAGAACAGTGCCTCTCACACTTGGGGCGAGGGGATGCTTCAGTCTGACAGAAGTCAGTACACGTGCAAGCTGGGAGAGCTGTAGCAGCTCTTCATTCTAAAGGGAAGGAGGTGGCCTCAGAAATGAGGGGTCGGAGGTGCCTGGGCGTGGCTCAGAAGCCCCAGGTCTGAGCCCGCGCGGCCACCGACCCACCGCCGACCTTCTTTTACCGCCCGCAGGACAGGGCCTGATTCCTAAGTGAAGAATCAGGAAACTTTCTTCTTTTCTTTCTTCCTGAGGGAAGAAAAGAAAAACTAAGTGTGGGCCTCCTAATGCCGCAGGGACCCCTTCTCAGAGGCAGAACTAGTTTTATTTTTGCATATTTAGATAAACGAGAGGGCTTCCGGTTCCTTGAGTGGTGACACTACAGCTACCTGCGGCCAAAGCCTCGTGGCCGTCTCCTCTCCCGTCCTGTCTGGAACCTGCGGGAGCCACGGGCCCACAATCAAGTCCCACAGAGCGGAGATCTGCACCCGAGGCGTGGGGATGTGAGGGCCGTGTCGTGGGGACCTCACCGGTCTCCCCAGAAGCGGGGAGTTCTGAGTTAGAATCCCGGCTTGGCCCTTCCCTCTGTGTGCATCCTCGGGCAAATCACCCAGTATCGCTGAGCCTCAGTTTGCCCGCCGGTAAAATGGGCGTGGCACTCCCCGCCTCTCCCGGACAGCCTGCGCGGCAGCGCTGACGCGGACATCGCCCCGGGCACCGCGCCAGAGCGCGCGCCGAGGTGTCGAGGTCGGGGGGCTCAGACGCCGCTGCAGGGCCCGCAGCTGCTGGCGTCATCGCGGAGGGCGGGGCCGCGGGGCGGCGCTCGGGGCCGGGAAAGGGGGCTGGAGCGGCGCCCGCCGCGGCTCAGCGCATCCCGGCTCTCCGCTTCCCTCCCCGCCGCGTCCCCGCGCGAAGATGGCAACCGAGGGGCTGCACGAGAACGAGACGCTGGCGTCGCTGAAGAGCGAGGCCGAGAGCCTCAAGGGCAAGCTGGAGGAGGAGCGGGCCAAGCTGCACGACGTGGAGCGTGAGTGCGGGCCGGGAGGCGGGCGGGGAAGGCCAGACCGGCTCGCGACTTCCCGGGCGGGGGCGGCGGGGGCGGCCGGGGCTGCGACGGGAGTCAGGCCGGCGCCACAGCCCGGGAGCAGGGCCCAGTGCCCGGGCGCGCAGGTGAGGCGCGGGTAGCGGCCCGGAGCTCCGGGGCGCGCGGATGTGGGACCCTCGGAGGGTCCGGGCGCCTGACAGACCCCCGCCGCCCGCTAGCGGAGAGCCGCGGGACCAGCTGTCCTCATCACCTGCCTGGAAGCAGCGGACTAATCGCGTTCCTGCCCCTCCCAGGCGGAGGGCAGGGGGTGGGGTGTTGGTGGTGACGAGCGAGCGGGCCAGCCCGTGTGGGCGCGGCCTAGGAGAGACTCCTGTTTTGTTTTTTCATCATCTTCTGGCTTTCTCCATCACTGTTGTGTCGGTTCTCAGTTTTGCTTTTATGAGACTCCAATTTCAGAGTTCATTTTTCCAGCCTCTCCTCTATGCTTGGGGGCTGGGAGCTGGATGACAGGAGGGAAGGGAAGCGGAGGACCTCACCAAATTCAACCGTTCAGTTCGTTTAAGGCTGTTTAAGAAGCTTTTGGATGAAAGCGGTGTGATCGGCGTAAAAGAGCCATAGCAACCTTAAACTTCACCATCACCACCGTAATTCAGAACTGGCTCTGTGATTTTTATGAGTGAGCGATTAGATTAAATAGCCAGGTTCGGTGGCTGTCGGCCAGAACGGCGTTCCTTGACTTTGTCAGAGACTCCTCCTCAGCAGAACGTGGGCTGGGGGCCAGGCTTGGGGAAGTGGTAGTATCTGCTCACTTTTCAGCCCTGAGGGTGGCATCTCCTCTTTGCTGGGCAAGGCCTCCCACGGTGCCCTCCCGCACACCTTGACGTTGTTCTGCCATTCCTAATGGGTGCCACCCTTTACATTCTATTTGGAATGGAAACATGGGGTTCGTGCTAGGGCCTTCAGCCTTTGATATCTGAAGATCATGTAAGAGAAGTGGATGACCTGAATTTAGCATGTGCTGTGCTTTCCTAGGGGTCTCCTTTAAATAGGAGGCACACTAAGCTTAGAAACTGTGTCCAGCAATCACTAACCTTAAACCCCAAATAATGTAGTTATGCAAATTCAGAGTTACTTTTCTTACATAACAACAGCAAAGGTGGATGATCACTGCTTTTGTTCAGCTGCACCGTACCCCCTCAATCCCCTGCCACCCACGCCTACGCTGTCTACCCTGTCGGGGACCCAGGCTCCTTCTGCCTTTCTTCCCCACACCTTAGAGCAGTGGCATTTGCCCCATGATTATATGATTGCCACAGCTCCAAACATCACTTCTGTATCCAAGGCAGGAAGAAGAGGGAATAAGCACACCAATCTCTCTTTGCTCCCTATCAAGAAAGCAAAGCAACAGTTTTCCCAGAAACCCTCCTTGCAGTTCGAGACCAGCCTGGCCAACATAGTGAAACCCCGTTTCTACTAAAAATACAAAAATTAGCTGGGTGTGGTGGTGGGTGCCTATAATGCCAGCTACTAGGGAGACTGAGGCAGGAGAATCGCTTCAACTCAAGAGGCGGAGGTTGCAGTGAGCTGAGATCGTGCCATTGCACTGCAGCCTGGGCAATAACAGCGAAACTGTGTTTCAAAAAAAAAAGAAACCCGCCTCCCTCCCCCAAAGATTTCTCCCCTGGGGAGATCTTCCTCCAGGATCCCAGCCCTCCTTTCTTCCAGTTTCTCAGCCCCTTTGTTTCTTCTTCAGCATCCAGCATTGAGACTTCATTGGTCAGAACTAGGCCATGAGGCTACTTTAAGGGAGGCTGGGAAAGGCTCAGCTGAGCCATTCCCAGCCAAAGCTTGGTTTCTGTCATCAGGAAGGAAGTGGGGAATGGATGTTAGGAGGTATGAGACAGGGTCTGCCTAATCTCCCTTTGCAAATTCCCATACTCCAAATAATAACGATCATGCCGTTAGTGCCTCTAAAGTATTAATAGGTCATCTAACTTCTCCCTTTGACAGATGAGGAAACTGAAGCACAAAGAAGTTACAGGACTTACAGAAGGTCCCCTCCTAATAAGTGATGGGACCAGGATTCCCCCAAAGCAGTCAGAGTGCCAGCTCAGGCTCACTTTGGATTTTTTTTGCCAAACCCCTTTGAGCTTCATGCAGAGGGTGTTCAGAAACTCACTTATTCACCAGTGCATACTGCACACCTGGATATTTTCAGCTTTTCTGTGAATTTGTAAGTTGCCTTAAGACAAAGAGATAGCAGAGATGACACTTTTCAATAGGGAAGCTCAGGGGACAGATTTAGTCAATCCAAAAGAGGAAGCTTTTTTGTCCTGCCAAGAGTAGTGCCCTCGAAAGCTAGGGCCAGATTTTAGACTCACAGTGGAAGGGTCTGTCCCTACCTGCATATGTCAGAATTTTTGAGCTGGAAAGACTAGAAGTCATGTGGTTGTGTCTCTCTTGATTCCCCTGCAGCTTCCAGACCACTTCTCTTCCACCCCCCATAAAACCTTTGCTCCTTGAAGGTTCTTATCACTCTGTTGACCTCTTCCCCGTTGACATGTCGCCTGACTTCCCAGCCACTTTCTCTCATTTCTTTTCTTTTTTCCTTTTTTTTTTCTTTTGAGACAGAGACTTGCTCTGTTGCCTAGGCTGGAGTGCAATGGTGCAATCTTGGCTTACTGTAAGCTCCACCTCCCGGGTTCAAGCGATTCTCCTGCCTTAGCCTCCCAAGTAACTGGGACTGACTATAGGCGTGTGCCACCACGCCCAGCTGATTTTTGTACTTTTAGTACATGGGACTTTACCATGTTGGCCAGGCTGGTCTCGAACTCCTGACCTCAAGTGATTGGCCCGCCTTAGCCCTCAAAAATACTGGGATTATAGGCGTGAGCCACCACGCTCAGCTATTCTCTTCTTTATTCATCTTTTTTTTTTTCTTTTTTCTTTATTTTTTATGGAGACGGGGTTTCCCCGTGTTAGTCAGGCCAGTCTCAAACTCCCAACCTCAGGTGATCTGCCTGCCTCGGCCTCCCAAAGTGCTGGGATTACAGGCGTGAGCCACGGTGCCCAGCCCATCTTTTTTTTTTTTAAGAGATAGGATTTCACTCTGTCATCCAGGCTGGAGTGAAGTGGTGTTATCATAGCTCATTGCAGCGTCAACCTCCTGAGCTCAAGCAGTCCTCCTGTCTCAGCCTCCCAGGTAACTGGGACTACAGGCATGCACAACCACACCTGGCCACTTTTGTTTCAAAATTCTTTGTAGAGACAGGGTCTCACTATGTTGCCCAGGGGGGTCTTGAACTCCTGGCCTCAAGCGATCCTCATGCCTTGGCCTCCTAAAGTGCTAGGATTACAGGCATGAGCCACTGTGTGCCCAGCCAGGTTCTCTCCCTTCTTAAGGACTTTGGCATTTCTTAGGACTGTGGCTTGAGTCTTCCTCTTGCCCCTAAGCCCTGCCCTGTCCTGTGAGATGACATGCTGGCCCCCTCACCATCGCAGCCCTGCTGCACACACCTGGGTTCTTGTCAGCACTCAGGACTGCCCCTCTTCCCTCACCTCGAATTGCTGCCTCCAGCTCCAAGCATAGTCTCTCCCTGGGGAGATCTCCTTCCTCCAGGATCCCAGCTCTCTTCTCTTCCAGTTTCTCAGCCCCTTCCTGTCTTTTCCCTCAGTATCCAGCATTGAGACTTGGGCCACCATTTCAGCAGCAATCTTGCTAAGTAATCCAAATTTCCTTCTCCTTCTACCTCTTCCTGGGAGCTGCCTGGTAGGACCTTAGCCCTGGATGAATCTGATGTCTCCTCTCTCTCTTGTGCCTGCAGCTGCTGGAGAAGTGGCACACAGGAGGCTTGCTGAGACCGTTGTCAGTTCCACAGTCACAAATTTTCCAAGGCTCTCAGAGCAGGCTGGAGTTCTCTGGTCAGCTCTTCACAGTGAAAATTTCAAGACTTTCTCCATGCTGCATGGGTCTCTGACTCCTCCCCTTCCACCTGGACTCCTCCACAGAAAATGGAAGCTCTAAACTGTTCCCTTAGTGTCACACTTCCAAACCTACCTCCACATGCACTGACCTCACACCTGTCCCCTTCCTGGCTTTGTCAGTTCCCTCTCACCACCAGGCATGAGATCACATCCTCTCTAGCCTTCAGTCACCTTGGCCTAGCAGTTATTCCTGTCTCCACCCCTCTGTTGACATGTACACACACCCAAGCCTGTCACTCATTCAGCACAATCTGCTGGCCCATTGTATGTCAGGCACTGTTCTCAGCCCTGGGGGACACTGCAGTGAACAAGTCACACCAGCATCGCTCCCTGGCAGAGCTTCCATTCTAGTGCGAGAGTCAGAGGACAAATGAGTAATACGCCTGACAGGCTAGATGACATGCCTTAGAGAGGAAAGAACTAAAGCAGAAAGTGGGAAGTGAGGTGTGGGGGAGCAGAAGCTTTAGAGAAGGTGACCCAGGGAGGCCTCATTGAGAAGGACTTTTGAGTCCAGACCTGAAGGGAGAGAAGAACCAGCACCATGACTCCCATCTGGAGAGCAAACTTCAAGCAAAAGGAGACGCTAGGCAGAGGCCTCAGGAGGGGTGTATTTGGCGTATTTGATGTATCTGAGGAAGCGCGAGGAGACAGGTGTGCCTGGAGGGGAGTGTGCAGGACAGAGTCTAGCTGGAGGTTATGCTGGGAGGTCCTGCAGAACCCCATGGGCACAGGGACAATTTGGCCTCTTACCCCCAATGAGTCGGGAAGCCCTTGGAGGGTTTCAAGAGAGGACGGACCTGATTGTTTTTTTTTTTTTTTTTTTTTTTGGGGGACGGAGTTTCGCTCTTGTTACCCAGGCTGGAGTGCAATGGCGCAATCTCGGCTCACCGCAACCTCCGCCTCCTGGGTTCAGGCAATTCTCCTGCCTCAGCCTCCTGAGTAGCTGGGACTACAGGCACGCGCCACCATGTCCAGCTAATGTTTTGTAGTTTTAGTAG